ATGAACACATTACCAAAATTATTGACTCTCGTGCATGCACAAAATAATAGAAAGAGAAAAGAGGCAAGTAGTGGAAAATTGTTGATCGCCAAAGTATCTAGATCAAAATCGGAAATGCAACACAAGAAAAAAAAAATTGAAGAAAAATATTAAGCAATGGTTCAAATTCATAAGTTCAACAATAGAAGAAAAAGGGCATGTGTTCTCTTGAGGACAAAAAGGGCATTTCAAAGCAAAGTTCTTGAATAAGCAACAAGGCAAAGAAAAGAAGGTTGTTATGACTATTTATGAAACGATGCTACTTGAAGATTCAAAGGACAATGGTGAATCAACTCTGGTGCAACTAGACACATTACAAGGGACAAATGGAGCTTACCAGAGATCAATGAAATGCACTAGGTGAGCATCGCATTTACACAGGAAACAATACATACTATGATGTCCTAGGAGAAGGAACTTGCAAAGTTAAGTGTTGAGAAGTCAGTCTTGATTCTTAAGCATTGTTGTTTGCACCCAATGTTAGAAGGAACCTTATATTGGTGTCTATCTTGGATAAAAGGATTATGATGTAATGTTCAAGTCAAATTTTTTTCACATCCGAAAGGATAATGATGTGATTGTGAAGGGTTCAAGGGTTGATGACATGTACCTTATTAATAGAAATAAAATTTCTTATTGAGTACATGAATGTTTCAACTAGTGAAAATAATTTCTATCTGACATTTAAGATTAGGTCACATCAATAAGGACAAGATGCTTAGAATGAGTAGATTGAGCCTTCTACCTCAAATGAATACAATAGACATTGACATTGTGAGCCATGTGTTAAAGGCAAAATGGCTAGAAAACCTTTTCAAAAATATTGGAAGTCTTTGGATTTGTTGGAGGTTGTTCATTTGGAAATATGTGGACCTTTAACAACAAAAACTCATAGAGGAATGAAATATTTTGTAACTTTCACTAATGATTATTCAAGGTTTGATCACATCTACTTAATTAAACATAAGTCTGATGCACTTGATAAATTCAAAGAGTATAAAAGGAAAGTAGAAACACAATTGGGTAGACCAATTAAAGCACTGAATAATGATAGGGGTAGTGAACGAATTGTGCAAAGAGAATGGTATAAGACATTTATATACGATGCCCATACACACCTGAATAAAATGGCATAGTAAAAACACCTAATAGGACTCTATTGGATATGAAAAGGTCCATGATAGCTTATGTTGATCTTCCTGTACATTTTTGGGGAGAAGCCTTGTCTACTACAACTTATATTTTAAATAGAGACAAGACAAAGGCAAAACCTCTGACCTTTATGAATACTAGATTAGGATAAAACTTGTCATATTTAACTTTAATGTTTGGGGGTGTAAAGCACGTGTACTTATTTTGAAGTCTCTCAAGGATAAGTTAGGAACAAAGACCTCGGAATGCAAGTTCATAGGATACATTGAAAATGGAAGTGGATATAGATTCTTCCATCCTTATGGAAGGGATGCTATATTTATTGAGTCTACCAATTAAATAACTCCCTTTGATCAAATCAAATTGTTAGATTATCTGCATGATAATGTTATGAGTCCTATTGATGACATCATTGATCAAGAAATGATAAGTGAACAAGGCTCACAGTTTGAGAATAGTATTTAGTCTAGGGTACAATCTCAAAAATTAAAGGATCATTTTGTATTTAGTCTAGATGAAAACATAATGTTAGAAGATGATAACTTCAAGCTATGAAAGAAGAGTTTAATTCAATTAATAAAAATAATGTTTGGAATTTAGTAGATCTTCCCAAATAGACGAAAGTCATTGGTTGCAAGTGGATTCTTAAAAAGAAGTTGAAAGAAGATGAGTCTTTAGATAAGTACAAACAAAGTTTGGTTGCTAAAGGATTTACTCAAAAACCTAGAATAGACTTTGTGGAAACATATTCACCTATTGTCAAGTTTAATTCAAACAGGATACTCATGTTAGTTGTAGCTAAGATGGATAATGAGCTACATCAGTTAGATTTGAAAATAGTCTTTCTTAATGAAGAGTTAAAAGAAGACATATATATGGTACAACCTAATGGTTTTTAGGTTAAAGGACACGAAGACAAAGTCTATAAATTGAAAAGGTCCTAGTACAGACTCAAACAATGCTCTAGACAATAGTATTTAAAGTTGCACCATGCAATCCTTGAAATAGGATTTGAAGTGTGTGCTTTAGGCCATTGTGTATATATTTGAACACGTCATGATAAACTAACAATTTTGTCGCTATATGTAGAACATATTTTATTGGTAGAGAATTGTCCAAATATGATAAAAGAAACCAAAGTGTACCTGGAATCCAAATTCAAAATGAAGGATATAGGTGAGACTAATTATGTCCTAGGAATTAGAATCTCTAGAGATAGAAATTCTAGACTCTTATATTTGGATCAAGAAAAGTATATGGAAAAGGTGTTTAAGAAATTTGGTATGAATAGTTGTCGTTGAGCACTCCTATTTGCACGGGTCAAAGTCTAAGTAAAGATATGTGCACTAGTTCGAATGAGGAAGTGATTGAAATGAGTAAGGTCTCCTACGCCCAAGTTGTGGTAGCCTCATGTATGCTATGTCATGCAGTTGGATTGGTAAGTAGGTATCAATCAAATCCGGAAAGACACATTGGCAGGCAATAGAGAGGATATTCAGATACTTGAGAGGCACAACAGGTATGAAATTCTGCTTTGGATTAAATGATCTAGAAATTATTGGCTATACAAATGTAGACTTTGCAGGTGATGTAGATGATAGAAAATCTACAACTAGCCATATATGCTTATTTGGTGGAACGACAGTTTCTTGGATAAGTAAGAAACAGGGTTGTGTTGCAAAGTACACAACGGAGGCCAAATCCAAAGCGTGTAGTACAACAGTAATTAATGTTGTTCGGATTAAATGTTTTGTTGATAGTTTAAAATTGGGTATGCATAGTAGGTCAATCAATGTGTTTTGTTAAAGAAAATTTGCTATCTCTTTAATAAAAAGCAGAGCTAACAGCTCTAAAGAAAAACAAATTGATGTAAATTATCATTATATTTAAGATATAATGGAGAAGGGTGAAATAAAAGTCAACTATATTCCCTCGGGAGAGATGGTGGCTAACCCTATGACCAAGGGGTTGACACTGAAAAAATTTAGAGAGCATGTTACTACAATTAGTTTAAGACTCACCTAGGTATTGCAGTATTACATGGTAAAGAGCATCTTTAGAGAAATTTTGGGGACGCCTAAAATTTATAGAAATATGAAACTCTACCTAATTGGGGATAAGAATTGGTGAGATAAAAGGTAGAGAACATCAGTAGGCATACTAGGGCTATTGCATGCTCATGAGTGTAAAGTCCACTTTGAGGCACCATGAGATCTTTGCATAGTCCCCTAAGGTGCATGGTGTATTAAGTGGTTGATAAGGTGCATTGAGGAAAACCTCTGTATGGACTTTAGAGGAAATACTTTTTCAAAATTTCAGGCACAATTCGACACATTGGTTAAATTTGTGTTTAGCTGAAGTCGTCAATGATATTGAGGATATGGATCTTATGATCCCTAATATGGAGCATTGATGTCGATCACTTTGTTATTGAGTGAATCGAAGTCACCTAGATTGTGCTATTGGTAAGGATAGCATATGTGGAAGGGAGCGGCCAAACTCGATGGCAAAAACGTGTGCACATAGATCTATTGTCATGTTCTAATGTATATTTGCAAATGGTTAGATATAAAAAGTTGGTGAGAACGAAAGTTTTGGTACCAAAGGCAAACACCAACTTGAAAAAATCTTAAGTCATGTCCCTGTACGTTCAAGTGGGAGCTATAAGTCGGTGAACTCATGGACATGAACTGGTGGTGTTTTCCTGTACATGGGCAGGACAGAAAAGGGTTGGCGGCGGTTGAAATGGTAACGGCTACAACCATTGGTGGCGGTTTGGATCGGCAACGGACAATACCGTTGTCAACAGTTATGTCTCCTGCTTGAATGGTTGCATTGGTAACCATTTGAAGTTTATAAATACATCATAGAAGACTTCACTTTTGATACTCAATATTCTTTTGGTCATAATCGCCATATTTATTTTTTCTCCGAGTGCATGTGATTGACAGTCTAACGACACTCGACCACTGTTCGAATACATGGGACCATAAGAACTTATATAACTAGTTAGCTTGATCTATGACCAGCACAAATCCACCCTACCCCCACTACTACCACCACCACCATTGTCCCCCACTGCCTGACCACCATCAACCACCACTGTCACTATGACCACCTCAACGGCAATGGTGATTCTTGTTTTGCATGGGTTATGTGCCCGATAATGTCGAGATAAAGGAGGACGACTAGGCACACCACCCCGAAAACTTGGCAATTGCTTTTTGATCTAATGAATTAATGAACACTTTAGATGGTGTTCCAAGCAAAGTGATAAAGAATTAGAGGGCCTGCTTCGATTGCCAGGTTGCTACAAAGTACATGTCCACAGGAAATTATTGTTAGAATTAGTAAGGGATGTTAGTGGGCTTCATCATTTCAAAAATGGGTAATTTTCTTGTGGAGATTACTGCTGAGAAGTTTTAGTAACACTTCAGAGTAGACAACATTGATTGAATCTGTCAGGTTTAGACTAATAGAACTAATAACCTCCTTTTTTTTTTTTTTTTTTTTGTTGCTATTTCTATTAGTTGAAACCATATTCTTATACAAATGAAAAGAGTTAAATTTGATCAAACAATCCATTGTATGAAACTTATGAATGCGTTCCTTTTATTCGTTTGTATGAGAACAGAAATAAAATTTTCCTCAAGTCAATGCTTTTTCCTACTACTTTCTCTCTGTCTAACGGATTCAAAGCAGCTAGAAAGATGTCAGTAGCCCTCGGTCAATTTCATTATTGGGATAAAAAGTAAAAAGACAAAAAAATGCTTGAATATGCTTATTAGAAAATAAGCCATCATAAACACTTTCTTCTCCTTTATTTCATTTAACACAAGCCCCAAATTTAGAGCTCAAATATATGAGGAAGCTGTAACAGTGCATATTAGGTCACAAATCACCACATGGGAGTTACACAATTTTATTTGAACCAAAAAAAAAAAAAAAAAAAAAAAAAGAAATGCTAACGGAACGTACAACATGGATAAAATGGATTTGCCCTTTATTCTAAACTAAAATCTATTTCAGGCGTAATGTGATGTTTCACTGGTGCCTTTTTGGGGCTCTTAGCAAGTGCAGCTTTCGTTTCATTAACCAGTTCTGGCATCCTTGCTTATAAAAAAGTGCAAGCAACCGAATCTGAGAGTCAGTGGCGAGGAGTGCTCTGTTTACAGTGGGGGCACCTGTCATTCGATTGTCAGGTCCTCTTCGATTTAGTTCTATTGGTCAGCCCCTTCCCTTTCATCAAATATCACACTACTCGTTTAGCTATCGCTCTTGGATTACAGGGGCATGCTGGAAGCTGAACTCAGGGCTCCCGTTGGAGAGAGAGAGAGAATGCAGGCCTGGAGAAATGAGTTACTAAAGAAAATGTCTTTGTAGCCTTAGAAATGAACTGTCAACTTTTATAAGTAAAAAAGACTGTCCTCCTTTTTCTGGGACCAACTGGTCCGCAGCGTTCTTTTTTGGACTTGCACAAAAGAAAAAAACAAACCTTTCCTAACCACAGATTTAAATCCACCACTTTCTCTTAACTTTCTTAAACATTCACAGCAAGAAAACTTCAGCTGAATTGTTTTCCTGTGTTTTGTACTGCATTTGAATTCCCAAGCCCTTCTCGAATGAGTTTTTGCAAGAAAAATCGGGTGTTTGTATTCAGACTTGGTTTGTACTCGGTACATTTTTTTTTTCTAAATTAACTTACCATAAATTCGAGTGGGATTCTCAAGACATAGCAAATGATTTAGCATAAAAGAAAAGTATACTGCATGGATTTAGATCCCTAGTCTCTACCGAAAGTCTTGCCTGCCAGTCTTGCATGACTTTGACTCTTGACTATTTTCCAGTCTGATCAATCCCCAAAACATAAAAGCAAACAAGAAGACACCTACATACATGAAAAGATAAACAAAGGAAGAAAACCAAAAAAAAAATTGTATCAGAGATGGACTATTTCATCTTATTTTTTGTTCTCCCATACTTTTTCAGTGTCTGCTCCGCCCAACCTCCTCCTTCGATTTCAAAGGCCAGCACCATATTCTACCTTAATTCAAGCCTTCCTTGGTACAACAATACTTCAACCAATATGACTCTCAATGGGGATGATGGATCAAAGCTAAGGGTAGTCCTCTCAAGTCGAAACAACCCTACAGCTAACATGACACCACCCAACACCCTTGGTTTTGTTTGTGGATTCTACTGCATAGATAGCTGCAATGAATACTTGTTCTCGCTTGCCGTTGTTGGTGCAGATATTCCAAGTGTAGTTTGGTCAGCAAATAGAGACCATCCAGTGCAGGAGAACGCGACCTTACAACTAACAGGAGATGGCGATTTGGTGCTACGAAACTCAAATGGCACCAAGGTGTGGTCAACCAATACTGCAGGAACCTCTGCACAGGAGTTAAACATCAGTGCATCAGGAAACTTGGTCCTCCTTAGCGATAAAAGAGACATTGTTTGGCAATCTTTTGACCACCCTACCGATACACTACTCAATGGCCAGCGCTTAAACGAGGGCCAGAGATTAACTGTGAGTGCCTCTAAATCCAATTGGACCAGGGGATTGTACTATGCCACATTAACCTCAGCCTCTGGTTTTGCAACATACACCAAAGTGGATCAAGGCCCCCCATTGATGTATTATCAATTGGTACCCAATCAGAGTTTGAGCAGTAGTAGTAGTGACAGATTCGATTATGCAGAATCTACACGAGGAGGGCTTCTTGTCAACTTGGGAACATCTCAGGAAATATTTGGAAAAACTACGGTCTATAGACATGATTCCTACATTGAGTATCTAAGACTTGATAGTGATGGACATTTGAAGATATATCAATATGATGATGCAAGGGGATTCAATGAGGTTCTTGATTTGGTTAGCAATGACCTAGGCGTATGTCAATATCCTCGCAGATGTGGAGAATATGGAGTATGCAGAGAAGGGGAATGTACTTGTCCATTAGGCCAAGACAGAGTTCAGTATTTTGACCAGAGTCGACTGCAGTTACCCAATCAGGGCTGCTCTAGAATAACCCCTTTGTCTTGTCAACCTTCCCCTGATAAACACAAGCTTGTCGAGGTAAAATATGCTACCTACTTCAATGTCATCGATTCAGCTGCTGCACTTCCAAATATCCAAGATATAAACGGATGCAGGGAGGCTTGCCTAAAAGACTGTTCTTGTGGTGCAATCTTTTTCAGATATGACAACATTTCAAATGGATATTGTTTTATGCCACCTGAGATCTTGTCAATTAGAGAAGGGCAAATTCCAAATCACAATTTCATGACAACCACATACATTAAGGTACAAATCCCCTATGAGGCACCAAGCCCTTTCCCAGAAATTGCGCCATTGACTCCATCTCAAAGAAATCAACCAAATTTAGCAGCAATAATAGAAGGGTCTAGTGTTGGTGCCTTTTTCCTTGTATGCATTGCAATTGCAATTGCAATTGCAATCTTGGTTATGCGGCAGAAAAAGAACGAAGATGACGAGGAAGACTATATCAGGCATGTCCCAGGGCTGCCTATGAGATTTTCATATGAAGAACTACGCATTGCAACAGAGGATTTTAAGGAGAGACTTGGTAGCGGAGGATTCGGGACTGTGTTCAGAGGAATGCTAGGAGATGGTACTAAGGTTGCAGTGAAGCAGTTGGATAAACTAGGCCACGCAATGGAGGAGTTCTTCGCAGAAGTTGCATCAGTTGGAAGCATACACCATTTTAATCTAGTAAGGTTGATTGGTTTTTGTGCAGAAAGACCTTACAAACTTCTTGTATATGAATATATGAGCAATGGGTCTTTGGATAGGTGGATTTTTAACAAACACCAGGGAGCATGCCTCGATTGGCCAGCTCGAAAGAATATTATACTTGGCATAGCCAAAGGGTTGGCTTATCTTCATGAAGAATGCCGGCAGAGGATTATTCACCTTGATATCAAGCCACAAAACATTCTGTTGGACGAAAATTTCAATGCTAAAGTCTCTGATTTCGGGTTAGCTAAGCTCATAGACAGAGAAGAGAGCCAAGTCCTGACAACATGGAGAGGAACTCTAGGGTATCTTGCCCCTGAATGGCGACTCCAAAGAATCACCGTAAAAGTCGACATCTATAGTTTTGGGATTGTTGTTCTTGAAATAGTTTGTGGGCGGAAAAATTTGGATCACCATCGATCAGAATCTAGCTCACACTTGCTTAGTCTCTTGCAGAAGGCGGGCAAAGAGGATAAACTACTTGACATAGTTGAGCACCTGGAGAAAGGCATGGAAGATCATAGAGAAGAAATGGTGAGTATGATAAAGATTGCAGCATGGTGTTTGCAAGATGATCACAAGAGGAGGCCTTCCATGTCAACAGTAGTGAAGGTCTTGGAAGGGGTAATTGGGGTGGATCCAGACATCAGCTATAACTTCAGTCATGCTAAGGAGTTTCACATTGTGGTAGAAGACCATGCTTCCACACCACCACAAGCTTCTGCTCTTTCTGGTCCAAGATGAAATGGTGATATACAGTAAACTGCAAAGACAATCACAACATTCCTAAAGATCTCAAGGTGTGAAAACCACTTCTAGATGTTCTACTTGTGGGTGGGTCCTGGATCTTGTACTTTTAGCTGGTTAGTAGTTTTTGTACAATTTTCTCCACCAATGGACAAAAAAAAAAAAAAAGGCAAAAATTGTAGTTTTGCGAAATTGTCAAAAAATCTTACACTAATTTTAAAAGGTTAATTACAAAAAAATGTCCTTGAACTAAGGCTTAATTTCAGCTGACTACCCTCAACAATTATGAGTTCCAATAAACCCACTCGTACTTGTGAATAAGAAGCAAGTCTAACTTTAAACAAAAAACTAAAATACAAAATTAACCTCCTGCTGAAAACTGAAGTCACTAATCTATCTATCTATATCATAGTTATCAAATCTTGTATCGGAAAGTGTATCGTTTTTTAAAAATAGTGTATCGTATCGTATCGTGTACCGTAAGACACAGCGAAATTTTAAATAATTAATAATAAAATATATATACTTTTGAAAAAAAATCATAGATTCATAAAAACATAACATTTCATTAATATTCCACTTACTATTCAAGTCACCAATATAATTTACTAATATTAAAAAAATAATAAAATGTATCAAATTAAATTAATGATACTTATGTATACTTAAAAGTAAAAAGTTATAATGTAGGGGATATTAAATGTAATTCTTCATTCTTATAACAAAACACACACAATCGTGAGTCTACCCATGACTCACGAACAAACACAAAGAGCCAGAGAGAAGAGGTGAGAGGCGAGAAGCGAGAAGCGAGAAGCGATGCCGATGCCGATGCCGATGCCGGAGAGAGAAAGAGAAGAGGAAAAAGAAGAAGAAGAACAGTGGTACCTCGTGGTAGTACCTCACAGCGATGACGAGAGAGATCGTGAGACAAAGAGATAGAGATCGTGAGACACCGAGAGAGAGATCGTTAGACTTAGGGTTTCATCTGAAATTTACAGGTTAGTATTGCTATTTTTTTCAATTTCAAAAATTTATTTGATTTACTTTTACTTTTACTTAGGTGTTTTTGCTGATTTGTTGTCTGGTAATCCTTGTCTTCTTCATCTCTGTTGCCTTTTTTTTGGCATTTTCTCTATTCTCTGATTTTGGGCTTCGGTGTCTTCATCTCTGTTGGCTTCAGTGCCTTCATCTCTGTTGTTTTTGCTTCGGTATCTTCATCTCTGTTGCTTTTGCTTCAGTGTCTTCATCTCTGGTGCGAATCAGGTTGTCAAAAAGGAAAAAAAAAATTAAACAGCAATTTCTCGTATCGTAGCGATATGTATCGTATCATAAAAACAAATCGTGTATCGGACGATACAATGCAAAAACGATACATAACTACGATCCGTATCGATTTAGGCCTATATCGTGACGTATCGTACGATACGTATCGCGCATTGTACGATACTAACAACTATGATCTATATATATAACAAACAATTTAGAGGTGAGAAGATTTGGGAAGCCTTCCCTCCGCATTTTCGAATTTTTAGTAAATTTTGTAATTCAAAACCTAAAAAAAATCCCTCCAATTAGACGCTATCATATGTAATTTGTAAGTACCTATCAACTCCTCTTTAACTAACTACTTGTTTTCAAAATTTAATCAAAACAATTATTTTTATCACCTAAAAACTTTCTATAATTATTTACTTAACTTCTCAAGTAATAAAATAAAAAGAAACACGAATTATAATCCCGTGCATAGAACAAACAGACCTGTAATATAGATATAGTTTTTCTTTGATTACACTCAAGAAACCACCAAACCAAGTGACCCCACATGATGTAGATCGTATTAAGAAAAATTAGGGATGAGAAAGGAAGAAGAAGGGGATGAGAAAAGAAGAAGTGGATGAGAATAGAGATAATTTGAGAAGGAAGCAAGATATTCAATATCAATAATCAATAATCAAAGTCTAGTCCCTCAACAAATATGTATCCCCTATATATATAAGGAGTTCACAAATCCTATATATATATAAGGAAATCACAAATGTTAAAAAACTCTAAAAGAAACAAATAGTCATAATGACAACTAAACCCCTAAAAAGCTAAATGACAAATAACTCCTAATCCCTACGCCTACTATAACGAAATATAATCCGATTCCTATCATTTTTCCCCGGCTGAAAAGAACTCACATCCGGAGAGATACGATCATGATGCTCTAGAAGATCAGGATCAAGTCAACAAAACTCCTCCTCAGTCATCCATGAATCATCAGTCTTTGGATGATTTCTCCACCAAATAAGATAACGATGATATCCTCCATCCGAGGAACCCACAATCTGATCATCAAGTCATCTGCGATCTGGTCATGTAGCTGTGGTGGAAACGGTGGAAGAATAGGAACTGTAGTTGATGCTGATGACAAAGCAAGTCCACCTGTAGGAACACCTACTGGCAATATGGGAGGCTCAAAAGTACCATGATAAGGAAACAAGTCCTCCACATTGAAAATAGAACTAATACTCATATTCGAAGGTAAGTCAAGGTGATATGCATTAGGTCCAAACTTACGAAGAATATGAAAAGGGCTAGTGGCTCGAGCATGTAACTTTTTGAAAGAATTTTTAGGGTAACGTTCAGGACGCACACGAACCATGGCATAGTCTCCCACAATAAATTCTTTATTTCTACGATGAACATCTGCAGCCAATTTATAATTATCATTACTTAATGTAATTTTTTGTCTTATATCGCATGCAAATCATGAATATTCTGGGCAAAAACTTCGACTGATTGTGAGGGACGGGAATCAGGAGGTAAAGGTAACAAATCAATGGGCTGTCTAGGGGAATGGCCATAAACAATCTCAAAAGGGGATTGACCAGTCGACCTGTTGACGGAGTTATTATAGACAAATTCAGCAGTAGGCAACAACAAATCCCAATTTTCCATCTTCTCACCCACTAGACACCTAAGCAAATCTCCTAAGCTACGATTGACTACCTTAGTTTGACCATCAGTTTGGGGATGAAAGGCAGAGAAAAACTTAAGACTAGTTCCAAAGAGTTTTCAAAGTGTTTTCCAAAAATAACTTACAAATTTGACATCCCTATCAGAGACAATGGAAATAGGCAACCCATGTAGTCGGACGACCTCTCTAAAAAATAACTTTGCTACATGTGAGGAATCAGTAGACTTAGTGCAAGGAAGGAAATGGGTCATCTTAGAAAACCTATCCACGACAACTAGAATGGAATCATGATTACGGGTTGTTTTAGGCAATCCTAAGACAAAATTCATACTAAGGTCTCTCCATGGTGTGTGTGTACAACCCAGTGTTTTGTTTCTTAGCCTTTGCTAACTAACAAGTGCGACACTGTGACACTATCCTAATAATGTCACGCCTCAAAGTGGGCCAATAAAACCTATCCTCAACAAGTGCAAATGTCTTATCCCTACCAAAGTGGTCTGCCAAACCTCCCGCATGTAATTTCCAAATCAGGAAATCCCTAAATGCAGTACGGGGAATACATAAGCGCGACCCTCTAAACAAGTAACCATCTCTAAGGAGGAAGGCAATGTAATCATGACAGTTACCAGACTGAGCATCTTGAAAAATAATACCAAAGTCAGGACAAAAGGCATACTCATCTCTAATCATGTCAAAACCGATCACTTGAACACTCATACTCTGTAAAACAGCAACTACACGGCTAAGAGCATCTGCAGGCTTGTTTTCAATGCCCACTCGGTGGTGAAAAACAAAAGTATACTCCTGAAGGAACTCAACCTACCTAACGTGTCTAACACTCAATTTTCTCTGGGAATGAAGGTATTTTAATACTTGATGATCAGAATATAACACAAACTCAGATGGCAATAGATAATACCTCCAATGGCGAAGAGCTTGTACCACAGCGTAGAACTCTTTGTCATATGTAGAGTATCGTTGTTTAACTTCATTGAGTTTTTCGCTGAAGTAAGCAATAGGATGACCCTCTTGACAAATAACTCCTAATCCTTATGCTTACGCCTACTATAACGAAATATAATCCGATCACAGGCAACCTCAAACACCTTAGAAAAATCTGGGTGTCGAAGTACGGGTGCCTCTGTCATCCTATGCTTAATTTCTTCAAAGGCTCTAGTTGCAACAAGTGTCCATTGACAAAATTACAGTCAAGTATCGATTTCCTATACCGAGACTTGAAGATATGCTTGACCTTTTGGGCGGTGCACTTTAGTTCTCCAAAATTGATTTACGCAGTGGTTATCATCAAATCCGAATACGGTCAGGAGATGAATGGAAAACCGCATTTAAAACCCAGGATGGACTTTATGAGTGGTTGGTCATGCCTTTTGGATTGTCTAATACACCTAGCACATTTATGAGGGTTATGACTCAAATACTGCGTCCTTTCCTAGGAAAATTTGTGGTTGTTTACTTTGATGACATCTAGATCTATAGTAAGTCTAAAGAAGAGCATTTGAATCATCTTCGACAAGTTTTGCAGACATTACGTGTGCAAAAATTCTATGCGAACCTTAAGAAGTGCTCTTTTATGCAAACTCAAGTGCTTTTCCTTGGATTTGTGATTTCTGCGCATGTTATTTCAGCTGACCCCGAGAAAATTCGTGATATTAGGGATTGGCCAGTGCCAAGAACAATTTCTGAGGTTCGAAGTTTTCATGGTTTGGCCACCTTCTATAGACAATTTATTAAAGGGTTAGTTCTATTATGGCTCCTATCACATAGTGCATGAAAAAAGGGGAGTTTCAATGAACACCTTGACATGAGTCAATAGGATCTATCGGGCGAGGCAGGTGCCTAATATTGTGTGCGTGTATAGACTTAGGTGAAACTTGTGACTCACTCTGGTCATAGTCTATTAGTCGTTTTTCCATAAATTTAGTCAATTGAGCTAGCTGAGTAGTAACTTGAAAAAGTTGTTGCCCCAGTCCTTTAACTTCCTCCCGTAACAAGTCGACTGATTGTTTAGTATCGGTCATATCAATAGTGGGGGTCTCAAATTTTTGTTCTAGTGCAGTATGGGATTCTGAAAGCTCACGAAGGGTCATAGTGAATGTAATGTAAAATTTGGGCTAATGTAAATTGCCGACTAGACTAAAAATTAAACAAAGTAATAAAAATTATAAAT